GTCAAGATTGTTCAAAAGTGGCAAATCTACCCCTAAATTAGAACAATGTAATGCACATGCAATCGCAACTACTCGGCCCTTTCCGTCAGTCTTCGGATAAGGACCTCGAACACAATAGTATGAATACACAGAACGGATGCGGTATTCCGGTCTAACCTACGCTAAGAAACTAAACATGTAAACAAATAGTAATTTAATGCTGGGAGTTGTCGACAAGTTTATTTCCAATATATGTTGTAAAAGTCAACATAAAATAAGTGAATTCATAGGTACAAAAGCAAACAATACATTATTTATATATTTACTATTATGGCTGTAGAAACCGAAAGTACAAAAAACCAACCTGTTGACATTTGGTCGGATTTGTTTAAAATTGAACATCAGTGGGCATATTTGAATTACAAATTGTTGTCAGACATATTTTCAAGCATTAGAGTACCGGAACAGACATCAGATGTCAAATATATACATTCGTTTTACATTATCTCTGTTTCTGTTTACATCTGTAAACCACGTGGAGGAACTACTTTCAATCCGTATTGTTTCCGAGGTTAATATTATAGATAATAGCCGAGGCAGTTCCGAATGGGAGGAACTACTTTCAATCCGTATTGTTTCCGAGGTTAATATTATAGATAATAGCCGAGGCAGTTCCGAATGATGCACATGCTTGTGGTGGGCATGCACGTTGTTTGATGACATCGTCATTTTGTAACATTGTGTTCGCAGGAGTGTTCAATTTGTGTCTGTTATGAGATCAAATAAATGCAATATCATATCATACTCTGTCAACAAGTGACATTATGCTCGATTTTTCATAGTCAAGTAGAGCTGAATTAACTTTATTTTTCAAAAGATTGACTGTTATAATGATCATTGACCAATAGTTTGTTAATGTATAACGTTTAGGTTAAGATATAAATCTAATAAAAACCGCTCTTTTTTACAGTTAAATTCCATACATTTCATTGCGACATGCGAGTTATTTATAATTCATACGAAGAAAGTTGTAAAATTGAAAGGAATTATAGTAAAATATAGTAAACTTATTTTGACTTTAACCTGTTCATTGAATGAACAAAATGTCAGTCTTATTACCTCCCTTTACATTACTTCTAAAACACAAATGCATAGATTTTAATACATTTCTGCCTATCCTTTAATTTTCTTTAAATAGTTAGGGACAAAACATAATGTATTTATTTTATTCAATAAATAATATTGAAATTTTTCGTTCGTACAAACCAAGTTTACTTTAATCTTAGATAGGTTTATTTACACACAAGAGTCCACCTCTTTTCGCATGCTCGCCCATATGGTTTTTAACCGGTGGCGAGGGTAAATAAACTCAACACACACCTCTTTTCGCTGCACAACATAAAAACATGTATGTGATGTCGGCCGTGCATGTTCAGTATACCAGCCCCCTTTTAAGCTCATAATTAATTTTTATCCATGATTCATACACTGGTTTCAATGGCGTCCCTTGCATCAAAATAGTATCACAACTAAACAGTCAACTTGCATACGTAATAAGTATCAGTCACTGAATTATTGAATTCAAAATTTATAGGTCACCTACTGATTGATCAACATTTAAGGAAATTATGTCAAAACCAAAAAAGGCAATTTCAAATAATAATATGATTTATTAGAGCTAGCAGACACGTAAACAACGATAAGTCAAATACAAATTACAAATTGAAATAATGTATCAGTGTTATGCAGGACTACACATAAACACTTTACAACATCAATGAAAATAAATGTTATTTAATCAAAGATAGAATGAACTATTCATGAGAAATACAGAATGAATAGGAACAAAACCGCCAACTCCCGGCCAAACATAAAGCAGAACAAAATTATATACAAAAGCATAAATATACAAGTACAAGAAATGTAAGTTAACACAGAGCTACCATCAAGACAATTTCCCAAAAATATCATTACTCTAAGGGATTAAACAGTTTTAAGTAAATATATATAAATAAATAATTCTTAAAGGAAGCTCTGTGCAAAATTACAAGCAAACAAAAATTAAATTAAAAGCAATAGCAAAGCAAAATAACAGCATTCAAAAATGATGAATCAAGATGTCAGAAAAATGGGTACCCAAAGATAAAGATGAAAAAAGAAACAAGGGTAACGTCAAGATACCATTACCACTTATTCCCAAATCCTCAAAGGAGTAACTATACCTCCTTTAAAAGGAAAAAACTCACAGATGATATAAAGATGCTAACATCATATGAGCAACAATAGCTGAGGAAATAAAATACTTCCCTCAAAGCTAAAACAACCCAAGTCTATAATATGATATCCCATTAAACTGACATCAAGAAGAAAATAATAAAATGGATGCTAATATACAAATGTTACAATACAAGCAAATAGAAAATTTATGAACAAAGAAATTTATGTCATGCAAGAAATAAAACGAAAGTTAAAGAGGAGCACAAAAAAATAAAAGCTGTTCCTTTTGTTGTTTGCAATAGAATAACACTTCTGTGCCACAAGTTGGGAAGATCAATTATTTTTTACTATTTTTTTAAAAAAATAAATTACAAAGCAAACTAGCCTTTCAGTAAATGAGCCACTGTACGAATGAAAAAATTACGGAGGAGTCTAACCCCTTCAAAATTTAAGTGCAAACCACCGTCTCTGACTGCGAAAACATCGAGATTTGGTTTGAAAGAAAACAATTAACCGACTGGAAACGTGTCTTGACAAAAACTGTAACTAAAAGGCGCCAAAACCTAACTTAAATACAGTTTGGCGTAATGATACAAAAGTGACCCTTGACCTAACTGGTGAGGTAACCAATCAAAAAGGTTGTTTATTGATATACAACAAATGAAAAGGAGTAATAGTACAAAAATGACCTCTGACCTATATAAAGAACAACCAATGAGAAAGGCTGTTTTATCCATAATTAAAAGATTGTATTGTAAACAAAATGCTTCACATGAATGGTGACGTACTCTCAGGGCTTGAAACAAGTGTTCGATTCCCGGACGGCACAGGTCACTTTTGATGTGATTGATCATGAGGTCTTTTCAACGGCCATTCGCACGCCTTTACTTTCGTGATAAACTGCTTGACAGCCCAGGTACGTATATGTTAATATACGTACCTGGACAGCCTGACCACTAACACTGCCATGATCCGGAGTAAAAACTACCAACATCACCACCAACATTCCTCACTCGAATGGTTATAACGGACAGAACACCTACTTTTACCTTTCATTGTTTTTCGGCACACAAATACAGTACACCCGTACTCCGTAAAGCAGGGACGACAAGGAAGTTTGTTAGAAAATAGTTTTATTCATAAATTTGTACATAGTGAACAGTTTATTTATAGTTGAATCTCCTTCACGAAAACCGGACTGAAATTCTGTTAGAATATTGCTGTTCATATTAAGATAATTATATGCGTGTTTGTATACAGCTGTTTCAAGAATTTACATATAAAACAGTGGTTTTATATTATAAATAATTATGATGCTCAAATTAAGATTTATCAATGTTGTAAGTTCCAAAAAGCATTATTTACCGAATTTTACATTTCAGGTAAATAAAGGGAGTTAATACCAAATATATTTTCTATAAAGTCTAAGTCAAATTTTTCAATAACAAATGAGTGTATATATTTCAATGATTACATATAATATGTACACATATTTTACATATTCTTCGATGTATGAAAATTGTTTTATAAGTCCCATTAGGTCGGATGGTAATACATTTATTTGGGATATATCGGTTGACGCAGAGACCAACTGATCTACATCATGTGATGAATGGATGCACTGCTAGTCAAATTTTGCTAGAGAGTATCTCGGATCATAAAGTCTTTGCGAATGTACAATAATATATGACAGTAGTGTGTCCGACTTTTTGGTTTTATAAATTTAAAAAGAATTAACCAAATGAAATATATGAATACATATCAAATACATCAGCACATATATGTTTAAAGAGATGGACACAATAAAATAGCAAATAATGGTAAATGAAGAAAAACAGCCGATAAGACCTGTCACCCAAGCAATGATCTGGGAAATTGTTAAATATTTATAATTAAACATCGTTATTACGAGTTATAACTTCAAAATTTAAATATCTCTGATTAATTAAATGTTGCTAATGTCAAATGTGACATAATGGACAAAGAAAGAAAGAAAGAAGACAGAAAAAAGAAAGATTTTACTACTTCAATCACACGTCAATTACATTATGCCATTCATCCGCTCATGCACAAAACAATTTATGCAGTACAGTACCATTTCATGTGTGTGTTTTTATCTTAGTCACGTTTCCAATGGGATTTTGACTATTTGTTAGTATATAGGCACTTGGAACTAAGCGTTCCAGAATTCTGAAAGGTATAGTCTATGTTTTGATTTTCGTAAAAATCATGATAATAAAATAATAATACGATACCCTGTGACATTTAATACAGCAATTTTTATCTTTTACACCGACTCCCTGCCTTCATCAACCATTTTATTTTGCCTTGCTGGATGACTTTCACTCTTTATGTAATGCAGCATCAATATAAATGATAAATCGTATCTCAGTTATAGCCTGGAAAATACTTGGATATACAGTGTATCTGTAAACTGATAGGCGCACTTTAGTTAATGTTAAATTGACGTAGAAAAGTTCGAATTCAATTATATCAATAGCAGCTTAGTTATATTTTAATTATATGAACGTATCATGTGCTAGTTTACTGAATTATCTCTCCGTACACAATGTTCAAACCCATTTCATTTCATTTATTGAGCTATACAAATTATTTACCATCTCTATATTAGCTTGAAGAAATGCCCGTTTATATCAGAGTGCATATCAAACTATTTCTCACTGAAATACATGTCACATTAATCGCCGAGTGGTCATTGTCACTGACTTCAGATCACTTGCTCATCCATGTCCCCGCTGTAGGTTCGAATCATACCAGGGATTCCAGATAATACAATATTAATCTTGCCAAAATACACCATTTATTTAATTTAATGTACAAACTGTCTCACGCTACTGTCTCTTTTATCAATAATTTCAACTAGTTGATGTAAAAAAGTTTAAATACGTGAAATAGAATGTGAATTAACGTATAAATCCATAAATGTATGTATATATAAAGTAAGGTGGCTGATTTTGAACGCTTTTGTGCGTCATGTTGTTGTTAGCGACAGCACGACAAAACGCCAAACGGCGCGTTGACGGATTTTTGTCTTGGCGTCCTGTCGCTGACGGTGCACACCAAATGGTGCGTTGTCGTGCGGCATGTTGTCCCGATGTCACATTTTCGAGCGGCTCAAATCGAATAATTGGCTTATAACCCTGGTAACAGGGCGACATTGCGCCGCATGACAAGGCGCCGTTTTGCGTGCTTCGCTAGAGACAGGTCGACGAGACGACAGAGCGACAACGCGCCGTTTGGCGCGTTTCGCTAGTGTCATGACGACAAGACGAAAAGGCGATAATGATATAGGTTGTGTTGTCGCTATCGACAACGCAACACTCAAAGTGTACCAAATCAGCCACCTTTTTGAAGTGCATATGGAATGTTTTACATACATGTACAACACTAGATATCTTACCTAGTTACCACCTGGCAAACTAAATATTTGTTTGGTTATTACCTGGAGATCAACTAAAGGTGTATGAAATAATTCAAGTTATTATTTACAAGTATATACAGTACACATTCTTATTGGTGCGTTTTGTCTTTCGAAGTATTTGGGTATGATTATCTCATATCACTGTACAGAGATCAAAAGAAAACGTTGAACAAGAGTTTTAAAATTTCATTAATTCAATAGTTATTTATACAACTTCTTATTTCAATGACTCACATATTATGCTGTAGACATATATATGATCATTATGTATATTATGTACATATTTATAGCAAAATAATAAACTTTTAGTTTATTAAAATGTGTATAGTCATGCAGACATTGAGAACATGTAATTAGTATTTCTAAACATAACAACATGCTTCTTGAAATAATTTACATGTTAACGAGGCAAAAACAAACCCCATAAACATACAGAATATATTCAAATTTGAACTTTTGAAACAGAAGTTCTGATAACGTAAAGTGAATTAGATATAGATCTATATGTCTTTTTCGTAGTCTGTGTGTACTTCGTAGTAGAAATGAGGGGCATGTACATCTCTAGAGCTATGTTTAACATATACTTTCCCGTCAATCATGTCTTTATAACTGTCCAGCATTGGTAAATCTATTAAATTAGGTCTATAATTAACTAAAAAGTAAGCTTGTGCATGGAAATCTTCCTCCGAATTTGCATCGTCATTTTGCTTTGTCAAGATCACATCTTTTCGGACATACAAATTTGGATGATTTTCAAGTTTATCGAGTCGTTTTAACTGAGCATCATCAACTTCATACAGTTCTCCTTGAACATTCTGAAATAAAACACATGACAAAGTTTACATTAGGTGAACATAACATATCTAAATTTCGGACTATATATAGATTTCTAAGAAAGCGGCACACTAATCCAGTTATAAATACCTTAAAGATACGCTCCAGATCTATATGAACGCTTAAACAGGGATTAGATCTACACTGTAAATTAAAATTAAAATCTATAATACAAACATTGACAGCAAACTGTCATCTAGAATCTGCTTACACTATTAATTTATATAGATCTACATGCCATGTATAATGAAAAACTTTAGGTTATCCTTTCCAACAAATATACCCTGATGAATGGTTTTTAAAACAATACAATTTAATATATACATGTGTGTACTTACATGCCCTGTTCCTGGTTTGTACAGTAAAAATGGAACGTTATATCTCGACGCTACAACCAGCGGGTATTTTTCTTTGGTGTAAACGGTACCAAGTCGTCTGCACACACCGGATGTTTCATCTTTCATCAGATTATAGTTTGGTTCACCGGTTTTTAATGTCCCATACACAAATATCAAAAACATGTTGAACTGTTTCACGGGTTAAAGATATACAAATATAAAATCGGTGTACATACATAAATCCCCTCGTTCCGTTTGACTATGTAAACAAACCCAGTCACATGTACCCGGATTTACCCCTGCCGACAAGATAATTTTGCTTTAAACAAATGCACAACATTCTATGATTTCTGAACATAGAACATATCTTATTTAGAGGAAAACTTAGCTGTTTGGAAGTTTTAACTCTTGAAAAAGAAAGATAATAATTTGTGACGATGTACATAATAACCGCAAGGTTTCTTTCCCTTTTATAATAGGCTATACATGTAGATCTAGTTTCAATTTGTGGGCGATGTAATAATGTATTGGTTGCTTTTGTTTATGTTTTCTAAATTTAAACCTTAAAACACTATCCTTAGACTAGTATGAAATATATTCATCATATTTTTATCCTTAATCCATATTTATATACAAATCAACTTTTTTATAATAAGTGAACACAGGCACGAGTATCGGACCTGGGAAGAAAAAATAATAAAACCTGTGTTCATCTTAAAAGTGTCAAAAACCAAAAAAAAAATTTGTAAATTATGACCCCCTTTAAAAATATACTATAATAAAGTTAAGAGAAGGCCGGAAACTCCAGATTCGAGCCTACGAGCAAAGGATTCATTTCCCGGGCCGTTGTGAAAACAATTGGCCAGACAATTCAAAAAAACCTTTATCACTATTTCACGTTTGTATTAAGCTTCAAAATGAGACCAACCCCAAGTCTCTAGCCCTACCAGTTCATGAAATATCTATCAGGAAACGAGCGAATTCGTGCTAAAAATCCTTGGTAGACACAATTGCGGCACAACAATTCGGTACGTAAACAGGTAAACATAGACTCACTAATACATGTTTGTCAGCTGAGTACGGGTCAAAATCACTTGAATTTACTAAATAATATTACTAAATTCATTGAATGAGACCACTCACAACTGTCAGTAGCATCTGATACACACGAGATTCGAGTTTCAAACATTTTCACGGTCTTTCAATCGCTTTCTACGCCATAAGGCACCCTTGTGTGAAACGTTGCGGTTTTCGTTGCTATTGGCCAATCAGAAGACTCGTTACAAAATATCGAACAGCTGATTGACAATGGCGTAGAAAGGAATCTAAAGACCGTGGAAAGGTTTGAAATTCGAATTTTGCGTGTATCAGATGCTACTGACGGTTGTGTGTGGTCCAACTTAATGTATTTAGTAATATTATTTAGTAAATTCAAGTGATTTTGACCCGTACTCAGCTGGCATACATGTATTAGTCTATGTTAACGTACCGAATCGTTGTGCCGCAATTCTGTCTACCAAGGATTTTTAGCACGAATTCGCTCGTTTCCTGAGAGATATTTCATGAACGGGTAGGGCTAGAGACTTGGGGTTGGTCTCATTTTGAAGCTTAATACAAACGTGAAATAGTGATAAAAGTTTTTTTTAATTGTCTGGCCAATTGTTTTCACAACGGCCCGGGAAATGAATCCCTTGCTCGTAGGCTCGAATCTGGAGTTTCCGGCCTTCTCTTAACTTATAGTATATTTTTAAAGGGGGTCATTATTTACATTTTTTTTTTGGTTTTTGACACTTTTAAGATGAACACAGGTTTTATTATCAATCTGGTCATATTTTTTCTTCCCAGGTCCGATACTCGTGCCTGTGTAAGTGAACACAAAGTCAAACATAGATTTTTTGATCATTTTTTAAACAAACACGAACATTCAGTAATTATTTATAGAATACGTTTCGGCTATGCCTTCATCAGTGCAAAACATAATAATTTTTTATTATTATGTTTTTTTGATCATTTTATGAAAGTAAACTTTAACCATACACCTTTTGAGTAAGTTAAGTAAGTATGTTAAAGATATAAAATGTTAAGTTAAATGTTTTGCTGATTAATTGTGCGTGTCAGACATTTATAACAATTTATATTATGTAGAGCTACATTACATCCACTTTCCGATTACAATTTTTCAAATTTGTTATGTGTACATGACTGTAATTTAATGAAAAGAATCATTTTATTTATTACATTCAATATTTAGAAAAATATGCGGTCATTTGTATCCCCTCAAAAAGTCAGTATTTTATATCAGTTTTTCCTTTACCGAACTGAAAGGGTACCTGCTACAAAATGCCTTCCATCAGACACGCATTGTGGGTTGGGTAATCCACCTTTAAACTCAATTAAAGTTCATTTAACACAGACTTGCGGTGTAAATTAAAAGTATATTGTGCTTCTCCTAGTTCCCGGTATGGTATAAATCGCTCTGAAACAAGAAGGAAAACAAACAATGAATTTAGCCTACTGTGGAAAAATGTCATCGGCTGTAACCTTTAGGTATTTTCTGTTGTATGACAAAAGGAAACAACAACCCATTTAATCAAAACCAGATTTAATACATCATAGGTCGACCATGTTGAAATCAGAATGTCATCATTTAAATCGTGATGAATGGTGATACACTTTAGTTGTATCATGTTTCAGTTAACATTACTAAATGTTATAATATTGCTTGTTTTTAAATATCAAATCTATCCTTACTTTGTAACTCAAAATTATTTTTTTTAACAAGCAATAACATTTAGAAAATTTGATGACTGTTTCAGACGTATGCACACATATTAATGGATTATTGTGGCTGTTTGAAGAAATAAGTAAAATACTGGGCTGGTTTATGTAAAAGTCTACAGATTAAAAAAATTTTGCATGAAAAAAATAAATAAGAAAAAATAAAATAAAATAAAATGTTGTCAAGTTGTTTGTATGCCTTATAATATTATGCCAGTTTTTGACTAATTTTAACACTAGTCACATGAAAATATGCCATTACCGTAAATTACCGACGCGAAATTGATGTAGAGTATAAATTATAAAACTAATTTATAATTCTGTGTTGAGACTTCATTTAGTTTGAAACTATTTAAAACAATATATAAACGTATATATAATTATATCTTAAAATAGATATTTTAACATTTTAACAACAGTCACTTAATCAAATGGACAATAAATTGGACTTTTATGTACGGTTTCCTGTTTTATATACTGTAGAGTTTATGGGTTTGGACTCAAATTTACTTATAACTTCAACCCATTACCAGGCCCATATGCTCTAAGTACTTTTATGTTTCATTTTGTTTTTATTTGCTTTTGTTGCAGAAACTATCTACAGTCTAGTACATTCAATAAACTAAAGTAATAAAATGAAGTCCGTACAACACGTTACATGATTAATATCCTTTCAATCCATTTCATTAAGCCTATTTAACTGCCAAAAGTATTAAACTCATTTATAATACAACAGTCTACCTTACGAAAATCAACAACCTCGACCAATTATTTAAAATAAACAGACATTTAGTTCACGAGGTCATTCATAACAAGTGGTCTAATTAGTGGAGTGGTTAATTGAGCTCTGATAAGCAATGCCATACGATATTTGACAATGCAAAGTGACATTGCGATATATCGTGCTTTTACGGGTGACATTGTTAAGTGGATATCGCGACATTGTCGTTTCAGATTGTCGCCGTTGTTTGCGATTGTCGGGTATCAGTTTGTAATGTCGCGTTGTCGTGTGTCGACCACGCAAACCTGATGGTGACATTAGATTTTCAAGATTTTATTTTCAATATATGCAAAAGTCCCACAATAGCGGAAACATAAGCAAATTGTGACATACATAAATGCATACATACATACATACATAGAATCACATAACATAATGTAGTAGAAAACAGCTATTGAGATTTCCAAGAACAGAGCCTAACACATTCATATTTATTTAGGCTATAAAATTGAGCTGGGTATATATAATGTAAGTGAAAAGAATAAATATTACAAAATTCAATCATCAAGGATACACAAAAAGAAAAAAGGTCATTACTTATCTTTTGCATATAGTAATTTAAGACATGATTTAAAATTGTCTAGTTAAACACATCAAGTTCTAATAAAATGTTGCATTATTTTCATACAAAAAATACTAAGATTCTTTAGTTTATTTGTATTTTCCGATGTGACCAGGCTTACAAATTTAAACTTACTTGGCCTATTTATGTAAAAATTATCTATGTATATTTTTCTATCATTTTCAAATTCTGGACATACAAAAAGATAATGGAATTCATCGCCAATATCGTTACATATATTACATTTACGGTCTTGAATAGGTTTATTCTGCCATCGTCCTATTTCAATTGGAAGGCGATGATTTCTTGTCAAAAATAGTAATAATTTCTTAGCTAAATTGCTTGGTAGTTTATCTATGTAACAGCTTCTCGAAAAATCCTTTTTGATATATTTGTAAACGTTTGTATCAGAAGTATTATTTAGTTCAGAACGCCAATTTTGCGAGTAAATATCTTTTAACTTTTGAAATGTTGTTTTTATCAACCACTTACTATTGCTAAAACTTTCTATGTACCAAATCCCAGAAAAACCAGTTTCACATAAATATTGTTTTACATTTTCTATCCACAGAGATTTAACTTTATTATCTATATGTAATTTACGTAAGAAAATATATACCTTTGAAGATAATTTTATTGGTTCATCACTATTGATATTTTCAATAAGTCTTGCCCAAAATGTAATTACTCTGTGTTTGATATGCACACTGAGTGGTAGGACACCTGTTTCACCATATATCATATAAGACGGGGTTGACTTTTTAAATTTAAATATATATTTGAGAAATTTCAGCTGAATTCTCTCTAAAACATTAGCATTTCCATATCCCTAAATTTCGCTTCCGTACAGTAAAATAGGCTTGATAGTTTTTTCAAATAATTCAATTTGCAGGTCAAATGGTAAAGCCAAAGTTTTAATTTTCCTCAGTAATGCAAATATTGCTTTATTAGCTTGTTCAGTTATAAATGACCCAAATAGGATTCCGTATATAGAATGGTATACAATGGTAAACAGTTTTGCTCAAATATTATCCCTTACTGACGTCATTATAAATTGTTTAAGAGAATGTCTTTTAACAAGTATAAATAAATTTAAAACAAAATTCAGGTCTGATTTACC